GTGGCTTGATCTGCTGTTTACAAAGCCAGAGGGAACAATGACTTTTCTGGGATGCGTATGGCAGGTTGGCTTCTCCAGGGATCAGATGAAAATGCCACTTGAGCTTGAGGGCAGCATGTATGGCTGGTGCGCTCATCAGATAACAAGAGGACTCTGATGAAGAATGTTCCTAAGAAAGCACTGGGATAGTCTCCTGGTTCAGGAAGGCTGAGTGTTTTCAGTTTCCCAGTCAGATTCCAAGGCATGTCGATGAAGCATTTCATCCTGCAGAAACAACTCAGAATAGTTTCAGGAAGTCCCTGAAACTGACCAAGTTCACTAGGCGCCTCCCTGCCAAAGTAAGCAATAAAAGCTGAGAGTCCCTCTCAGACAAAAGGAAGCTCAGTTGCAAGGACTCTGAGAGCAGACCAGCTACTTGGGAGAAGCAGAAATCAGCCACGCTGCTTGGAACAGCTGAGGCACCTGGAAAAGACACTCTCCAGCTCACTGAGCTGCTTGCAGGCTATGCAGTGTGCTCTAGGTTCCCAGCTTTCTGAGCTGGGGCAGCTTTGGTGATGCAGTTGTCTGAGTCATTTCCACTCCTGAATGTGACCCATCACTCAGTAAGTAATTCCAATAAGAACTCATTGGCTTACCAAATTGGACTTTGGTAGTATCCGCATTTTGATCTGTTGTGGGTTCCCTATCTGGAGTGAATAGACGTGTATGTTGCATCTCCCCAGGAAAAACAACCACAAAGGACCAAATACCAGATGCACAAGGCATACAGACATCCTCAGAGTCTGAAGACATAGGCGTCCCCTGAACTGAGGACAGGCAAAGACCAAGCGCACTGGTGTCACCTCATCCTATTGTACCAAGAGGAACCTAGCACCGTTCCCACATTCTAGAGAGACACTGAGCCCTGCATGGGAGAGTGATGTGTCTCATATCCCACATGGAGGAGGAGGTGACTTGAGCATAGCCATCTGCTTTCAACTGAGGGCTGCAAGCTGAGTGGTAACAGATGGGGGTGTAGGATGCTGCCCCAGGGGCTTTGATGGATGCAGTGTGTCTCTCTTGAGGACTTAAGGGTGGGTGCATGCATCTGTTGTAGTGGCTCCATGACCCGTATCTGGTGGGTAGCCCCACTGGTTACTCCTCTTCACAGGCAAGTCATTTCCCCACTGTTCATCCTCTCCTGAGCCCACCCTCAGGAGTTTTTCCGTAATGCAAATCCCAAATCCCAGTTACTCCATGTGCCAGCTCTTCAACGTTAACTGTTTTTTCATCTGTAAAGTGGGAAAAAATGAAGGTTGCCTAGAGTTGTTATTCGTATAGATAGACATTTGCACAACCAACACCTGCACAAAAGCACTCAGTAAATATCTGTGAGCATTGTGGCCACATTGATGGTTATTGATGCTGCCGAGCCATTTCAAACATGTCTCATCTACATCATAAAATTCTCAACTCCTGAAGATCATAGAGCTTATTAGCACAGGCTGGAGTATGCAGTAGATACCCAATAAAGATTCATTAATGCATGCATAAATTATTAAGTCTGTAAGCAAGCAAGTCTCATAAGTAGTATCTAAAGAAATGATGATAATGATCACAGCACCAATACTAGAAGCTATAATGCTATTGATCACTTGTGGAGTGTTTAACATATTCAGGATTTGGGCTAAGCACTTTACAGAAATCATCTCACTTAACTGTCACAACAGTTAACCATGAAGTAGCCTGAGATCCAGTAGCTTGTCCCTGGTCCCAAAGGGCTGAAGAATGAAGTTGTTACACTGGAAATGTCTCCAGAGGAGGGACTCAGTGTGGCTCCTGAGTGTATTCCTGGTGCCAGGAAAAGGATGTCACATAAAGTGGATCCTCAAATGTGATTCACGGACGACTGGATGGGATGGACAGATGGATATAGGAGTGGGCGGGTGGAAGAATGGATGGGTGATGATTTGAGGAGATGGGTAGTATGATAAAGAGGTGGATGGACAGATGGGTGATAGAATGGAATGAAGATATGGACAGATGGAGGGTACATGGGTTGGTGAGTGGAGGGATGTTGGAGTGGCTGTGTCTTTGGAGGGTCACTGAATAAATGAATGACTATTTACATGGACATAGGTAGGTGGGTATTCGTGTGTGTAGACAGGAGAAAGAATGGGAAGATGTGCAGAAGATGAAGACCCGCTCCTTGTTACACTCCAGAGTATCATGTGAGGGATCCTCACACAGAGAAATGTTGGAACCGGATGTGCATGAGATAAAAGATTTGAGAAGATAGTTGTGGGCAGCCCTGTTCCTGGAAGGGAAGCAGAAGCAGGGGAGGTGCATCTGAGTTCCAGGAAGAGGCGGCCCCTTGTTCACATCTCTCTTCTGGAAGGGCTCAGGGCTGCACAGGGACGACACTAATTGGATCTTGTTAAAGTAAAATTGATGTCTTAGCACTGGAGGAGCTGGCGTGTTAACACGTGCTCTGCCAGCAGGTGGTAGAAAGGGGCTGCCAGGCTCATCCCACCTGGCTCAGGACCAGAGTACCCAGCCTGATGCAACGCTATCATCCTAGTGTCTGGTTCTCTGCCTCCAGAAACTCAGACTCGCAGCCTCAGTGGCTCAGAACCCCACAGCCTTGGGGCCCTCGATACCACACTGACAAAAAGCCGCTTCACCTGACCCATGGGAGTTCTGCATAGCATTCCTGTGCATCAGGCTAGGTATAGGGTCAGAGGCAGTCATGGCATGTCAGACCAAACCTGATGTATACACCCAGGACAGGACTAGCATCTCCTCTGCAGCACAGAAAGCTGCAGAATATCCCGGGAGTTCCTTGGCAAAGCATGAGAAAGGAAAATGGAGCTTGGGGGGGGGGGGGGGATTGGGGGGAGGTGGCATGTCTGGAAGAGAAAACTAAACCCTGCTTGTTGACTTCAGACTTCACATCTGAACCTGAGAGCGACCTGCCCCCCCCCCACCAACTCCTGGCTGATTCACAGGTCTTTCATAACCCACAGCCCTACAGAAGCACCTACTCGCCCCCTCCCCTGCCACTCCCCAACAGCCCCATCCTCCCTAGAAGATGGTCAAAGAGGTTTGATGGAGACCTCTGGATGTGACAGGTTGAACTCAGACATCTTTTAAATGCATCTTTTCAGTTGAGGCATCTGGCTCAGCTTCTAAGACCTGAATCTAAATCTTTTCCTTTTGGCTTCCTGGTCCAGGAAACACATTTCCAAGCATCCTGATCCTACTTGATCTTCAGGGTGACCCTGGAAGTTTGGCCGGGTAGGAGTGACTCCCCATCCCCCACTTCCGGACAGGCAGTAGGGTTAGGAGATTATATGACATGCAGGATGTAGATTAGAACCCATGTCTTCACTCAGGCCCACCCAGGTGTGTTATTCCTGGAGGAGGGGGAGCTGGGTGGGAAGACACGGACACAGCCCAGTCCTGATGGCTCTGGATTCTGCTGCCACTTGGCATCTGCTCGTGTTGTTTTTCTCTGTCAGGAACACTCCCTATCTTTTCATCAGACTATGCCCTCCCTAGATGACCTAGGCAAAAATCACAGGGTACTTGCAAGCAATCTAGGTATATGATTCCCCGGGTAGTTGCATTTCGTAGATTGTCTTTCTATGTTTCTGTTCACCTTTCTGTTTGGATCTTGAGCTTCTTGGGAGCAGAACCTCTGTCTTTTGTCTTCACCTCCTAGCAGGAAGCTCGTCCCACAAACGTACAAACTCTTTGACATTTGTGGGCTCAGTCAGCCAATCAGACGGTGATGCCGCACATGCTTATTATTCACAAAGCCCATCTGCATGGTCTTACCTACTCACCTAATTGTTTGCTGCTGCTCACAAAACACATTTGGGCTGTGATCAAGTCAAACTCCTTGACCCCAGTCCTTCCTGGAGCCCTACTGTTCCTCCCCATTCTTCCTCTGGAGGGAGTCACGTTGCCAGTTAGTGTGTCTTCTCCAGATCGTTAGCTATGTATGTGTCCATCCCGGTTTCTATCTACAAAGGAAGTGGAAGGCATGGCATCTCCAGTGCTCTTTTCCCACAACTGAGCCCCTTTAACAGCTGGTTGTTCACGACATGGCCGGGGCCAGGCTCCCTCTGCCTCTGAGAGATTATCACGTCTTTGTCTTCGCAGCTGAGCAGCTTTTATTCCTCACTGAGACTCATCTTGACTGATGTGTGTGTGGGGGGGTCCCCTTTCTTCTCCAACAAGTGATGAGGCAAAGCCCTCATCCAGACATTCGGTTTTCATGATTCTTGCAGGGCTCCAAGCGGTTTCTACCCTTTCCCCATACCCTACAGCCCATGTTCCCAGCAGGCACCTGAGCTCTGACCACACTGTCTGATCTGAGAGTGCTTTGGAGTCTTCAAGTTCTTAAGAACAGAGACACTAAACCCACCCCATCTGTGCCTTGCTGATGAGTCCCTGAGTCCCGGGAAGTGTGTCAGTCACTTTTGCAGCAAGCAAGCATAGGGAGTAGCTCAGCAGTCTGGGACTCCACTTGGACTGGATTATGAACAGCCCTTTCTTCTAATAACATATTTTGCAGCCTGAGTATGTACATGTATGTACATGCACCCCTCTCCAAACAATGTGCCTTGTAACTTTAGACCCCTGCCAGTACCTATCTATGCGCACGACTCTCTGAGCAGCGGGATAAATTTCTCCTCCTCTTGATGACTATCAAACTTGGACAGTTTCTGCTCAAACATGTTTCCCAATACATCCTGATCCAAGCATAGAAGGGTTTGGGGAACATACAATGAGACAACACTGTACTCAAATGAAGTTTTAGGGAAGACTTCCCTATTTATCATCTTATGCCTATGCATATAGTTGGGCATGCATATAACTAAAGCCAGATGCATTGTGGGGAAGGATATATACAGTGAGAAGATGGTTCTATATGAACTAACCTACCAACCGAAACAGAGAACCCCCCCCCTTTAGTAACAAAACTCTTTATGTCCCCTGAGGGAGGCCTCCACAGGGGTGGGCTCTTGAGTAGATTTTCTCCTGTGGCGATGCTCCCTCCCTAGTAGAGCATTCTGATCTTTTCTATCACATCTATGTATGCTTTTTACTTCAAGAACATGGGGCTGGAGAGATCGCTTAGTAGCTAAGAGCACTTGTTGCTCTTGCAGAGGATCCAAGTTTGGTTTCCACACCCACATTCGATGACCTCCAAACTGTCTGTAATCTGAGCTCTAGGGAATCCGATGCCCTCTTCTGAATTCTGTAAGTACTTTCACTCAGTAATAGCAAAATAAAACAACAACAGCAACAATAACAAGCATGAGGCCAGGAACCCAGAAACACTTGACCCTGCCTAGAATAGAGCTGGCTCCGCCCACAGGCCCGGCCACCAGAATCCATCCCAGCCTCACCACTGGTCAGCCCTTGCAAACTTAGCCCATCCTCCAGTCCTGCCTGCTTCATTTGCTGCCCTCATTCTGCCCTTTCTGATGACAGCTGAGAAGTGGTCTTTCAGTGTGTTTTGAAATATGAACTTAGTGGGTCCTTATGTAAGACGGGACTGGAAATCCTCCTGCCACTAAAGTTGCTGACAGTCTGTTCCAGAATCCAGAAGGCCTCAGAGCCTCCTCCCTCCCTCCAGCCTCCTGGCACTGTGGAGCAGAGGGTAGAGGAAAAGAAGACAGGTCAGCGAAGGATTTGCCAGGAATGAGGCACACAGGCGCTCGCCGTGGTGACAATGCAGTGTGGGCTCTTGGAAGCATTCACCAGGAGTCTCAAGACACCAAGGGATCTGACGCCCTGGCCAGAATTATAGGATCAGTGTCTTGAGCTAGGGTGGCAGCTGTGCCACTGAGGATCTCATGGCTCCACGGGGTGGTCAAGAGGGAGCCCTGGCATTGGTTGGCTTCAGCTTGTTGACCGTGGGATGTTGAGCGGTCCGTTTGCTTCTCCCTGGGTCTTGGTTTGTGCACTTGACACGGTAACAAGGCTGCTCCCCTTGCAGGTCGTTGCAGCCATGACTGTGAGAGAGGCAGAACAAATGTCAGGCTTCTCTAACAGGATCCTCGCAAACAGCCCACTCTAAAGGTCAAGGTGAGAGAAGGGATGTGCCCCAGGCTGGTCCCTGGCAGTGTTTGGTGAAGTCAGCGGGGCTCCGCACGTCCTTCATTCTGTGGCAGGCTGGCCCTGTCCCTCTGACTGCACCTCCCACCGGGACTTGGAAGAACATCCAGGAGCGACAGCACAGTCTTCCTCCTGCTTGCTGAGGAAGTACAGTCCCTGCACAGTACCCAGCCCTCAGATGCCCAAGGACTCCATCCATCCATGGCCCCCACTGGCATTATCCTGAGGAGCAGGGAGACAATGGCAAGAGGGGTTGGGGGGCAGAGAAACAAGAGGTGATGGAGAGAGCAGAGTAGGGGAGGGGATTGGGATGCTCAGAGATGCAGAAAAAAAACCTAGGAAGACAGAGAGGGGAGCAGGGCCATGACCAAAGCAGAATCCCCAGCATGGCCTTCCTCTGCAGGCCATTCCACAAGAAGTGAAGCAGAGGCCGGGAGTGTGGGAAGATACTTGGGTGGTGACAGAGGAGGGGAGAGATTAGGGTGCCAAACAAGAACCTCCCAGCATCCCCACAGGGTCAGGCCAGCACTGGAGGGGAGGCTGCTGCAGGAGACAAAAGGGAGAATCCAAACTCTGGGGCTCTAAAGGAAGCTGGGAGGTGGAAGTAGCTTATGGTGAAGGGGCAAGGACAAGGAGACAGATGGCTTACGGGAAGAGAGGGGCAGAAGAGAGGCCATGACAGAGCTAGGAGAGAGAAGCAGACAGATACCAGAAGGAAATGAGAGATGAGAGACACGAGCGGTCTCCACAGAGAGGAACTCAGAGGTGAGACAAGAGACAGAAGGATTGATTGGAGAAAGAGACAGGAGACTGGAGAGAGACTAGAGAGAGTTGGAGATGATAAAGACTCAGTGAAAAGAACGAGGCCAGGCAAGGGCCAGTCCAGAGGCAGAGGCAGGCAGTGAGAGGTGGAACAGCCTAGGCACTGAGACCCCTCAAGAAGAGAGTTTTGGGGCGGTGTGTCCTGAGTCAACACCCATGATGCTGGCCCAGGCCTGTGGTGGAATGCAGGATGAGCACTTGGCTCAGACACACCTCCTGTCTCAGCAGGCACAGGCGCCTGCCAAAGCCAGAGGACAAAGTCCCTGGGGAGACACACTCAATCTGCAGTACAAACAAATTAAGCAACCCTCAGAGGAAGGCTGGAAATCTGTCACCAAGAAGCAGACCCAAGTCCCCGTCATGTCCCCCCGACCCCCCCAAAGAAGCCAAGCGTCTACTTCTGGAGTACTCAAGACATACATCAGAGATTGCTACCCAGCCGCTGCTCGCCTTCTGGGGACAAGGCTAGAACTAAGCTCTTGGAGCCGCCGAGCTGTTTTTAAATGATTTGCCATTAATTCTACAGCTTAGCAAGAGCTTTCCAGATGAAAGGTCGGTTGGGGGACCCTGAGGCTGTATTTCATCAGTGTTAATGCTGACTCAATCCCACAGCCTGACACCTTCCTCAAATCCCTTGGACCAGACAGAGCCTTGACGCTTTCAGGGTCCTAGGGGACTTCTTCCGAAAAGCCTAAGTCTCCTCCCTGGCGGATCTATTTATATTTTATTGTTGTTGTTGTTGTTGTTCTTTGTGGTTCAAGCTGTCTGCAGTTCTGCTCCTGGAGTGATATGCTAGAAGATTCATGGTGGTCAAACATCTGTTGTATCCTTAGTTCCAGACTGACTGACTCAACTGGATGTCACCATCCATGGGGATCTCGCCAGAGCGCGGATATGAGGACTTCACCACTGTTCAAATGCCCCCCATGGCTCCTGCTTGCCACCCGACCCTACCCACCCGTCTCAGCCCTGGGGAGACATTCATGCAGGGTTCTTTATGGCCCCATCTGTGCTCTCAGACCAATTCACTGGGCCGGGGTCTCCCTGTTCCCAGCAAACTATGGATCTTTCCCCCGCGTTGGCGCGGCACTCTGCCTGGGCAGCTCGGCTCTGTGAATCACAGCTGGGTTGTCTCTGCTCCGCACCTTTCACTATGGTCTGTTTACACTCCGTTTTATCCGACATCCCCTTGATGTGACCAGCTGCCGTCCTGTTCACATGGCCTTCAGTACAGGGAGGCTCCTCCAGAAGATTGCTTGCCTTTTATCCCCCCTCCCTTGCTCCCACTTTGGAGAAAATGGGACTCAAGCTCCAAGATGAACCCCAAATCCCCAGATGCCTTCCTAGGATACCTTCTCCCTGCAACCCAGCATCCTACAGGGGTCTGTTTAACTTGCTACACTCAAAATCAAACTCATTAGCTCCTTCCCTCCTCAGCTCAGTCCCCTGCCCCCAGATCTGTACCAATGGAGTCCCACCTCCAGCTCAGAGAGCTGAGAGTCTCCTGGTTCCCCTGTCCCTCACTCCTCACACTGAGGTCACCAGTACCAGTCCCTTTTGCTTCAGACATGGCTCTCATGTCTTTCGTCTTCTTTCTTCCTCATGTAGGGACTCCCTACCTCCTGCTTGGCATGCTTCCAAAGCTCCTCCCTGCTGCTCTCCACCCATGTCCAAGCTATACCCTTCCTCTGAAAGCAACCACACCACGAACTCTACGCGGTCAGTTGGCCCAGAGTACCCTTTATGGCTGAATCCTTATCTCTGTAGTATTACTCCTCCTCTGCCAGATCAGGCCCTTTCTCGCCTCTAGACCTTTGCATGAGCAGTTCCCTCTGCCCACAACTGTGCTTTTGACTCACTGGGTTTCTAATTCCGTGTTAGTATTCATAGCGTTATACCCAAACATATCTGTGGGTTTCTCTTTCAACAATCTGGAACCTGTTTGAGATGGTAGCCCAGAGCCCAAATCATCATAATCATTCTCAATATTTTGTTGAATGAACACAAGGATGGATGGTGGACGGATAGATGAATTTAATGGTGTGTGTGTGTGTGTGTGTGTGTGTGTGTGTGTGTGTGTGTGTAGGTGGATGAGTGAGTGGGTGCATGGGTGAATAGAATGATATGTAGATAGGTGGATGGATGAATGGGTGGGAGAATGGATGAGTGGGCTCATAGATGGATGGGTAGGTGCTTGGATGGATGGGTGGGTTGGTAGATAGATGGGTGGGTGGATAGATGGATGGATGGACGAATGAGTAAATGGGTGGGTGTTAGCAAGTAGGGAGATTACCTGCCTTCCTTTTTCCTTAATTACCTAAGTGCCCAGTTTCCAAATATAGCCATATTCTGAGGCACTAGGCATTAGGATTTCAACATGCAGATTTGGAGGAACACTCTTTAGTCTCTAATGAGCCTGTATTTCTCAGCTTCCCCTGCAGCTAGGTATGACCAAGTCCAGTCCTTTCAAACATGCTGTGTGCATCTTCCAGGTCATCTCCCTACAGCACAGCTCTGCACTACCTTGACTTCCCTTCTTAGTGACTGGCCTGCTGCCTTGGGTAAGATGACAGAGTTGAAAGCTAAGCTAGGTCTTCAGGGAGTAGAGCTGTTTGCCCTCCTTTATTGTCCTGATCACGGTAACAAATCTCCATGGCATGAGACCATAGAACATGTAGCCTTAGAGACAAGGTGGAGGGTTTCACACCTTCTTTTCCTATCTTTCTAGACCATTAAGGCCAATCATGGGAGCCTCACCGTGACTGTTAATCTTGTCACCTTTATGGCATTTAAAGCCACCATGGAAACAAACCTCTGGGCTTATTATACACAAGGGACTAGCTTAGATGTGGGATGACCTGCCCTAAATGAAGGGAGCACCGTCCCATGGTCTGGGGGCTCACACTGAAGAAAAAGGAAAAAGTGAACTGAGTGCCAGCATTCAATGACTGGGGATGCCATGTGACTAGCCAGGTTCCAGCAGCCATACCTGCCTGGCCCATATGAACCTGTATCTCCTGGAACTGCTCCTAAACATGCCCCACCCACTTTAAGTTGCTTTTGTCGGGGATTTGTTGCAGCAAGGAGGCAAGTAACTAAGCCACTCATCTTTGTAACCTCATGGCATCTGAAAGGCCAGACTTAACAGTTCTCAGTAACTGTCATTAGTGATCAAGTTGCCAACTCAAGACAGACGTTCACCTGTGGTCTTCATACTAGTATCTGTTCTTGAACCCACAGGTATTTCAAGGCCAGTTTTTGCCATCTCAGAGGTCACCTGCCACAGGTGCTGGGCTTCTGAGCAAGGGATCTGCACTGGTCTCCAAGGCAGGACAAAGGATACTGCCTGTACTGCTGTGGGCAGAGGTAGACCCTGGGTGGAAGTTGCAGGATGTCCTTTCTCTGCTTTGAAACTCTTCAGTCTCTGCTCTGACTAACTTCCCACAGAAGGGTGTCTTAAAAAAAAGCAATTTGCAGACTTCTAGCTAGCGTTATAAAACAGAAGGTGGGGAGGGGGGTAGTGGAGGACGCAGAATAAGCAGTGGACCATTCTTCTGGAGATGTTTGATACACATTACCCCTATGTCTTACAGAAAACCGCAGTCAGCTGATGCTGCTTCCTGTAGGGCCTGGTCACGCTTCGTCCCCAAAGAGCCTGTTGACAACCCATTCTCAGTTTACAAGAAAAGAGACACCTTACTTCCTCTGCCCCTCGTTGATCTTCAGCTATGGTCAATGAGTGTATGCATGGTTTTTGGCCTCTGAGCTCCCGCTTATTTTGTGAGTTGTTGAAATGCAACGCTAAAATAATTAAAATGTCAGATTTTATGTCCTTTGCCCATTTTTATTACAACATTTGCCTTTTTCATATCAATTCACAGCACTGCTTTATACATTAAGGATATTAATCCTTGTAGTACAACACAGGCTTCAGGTACTATTTCCTCATTGTGCCTCGACATTTGGTTTTATTTATTGTGTTTTTGGTGTCAGGCTGTTCAATTTATAAGTGGTCAAATCTATTAATATTTTCTTTTATGTATTTGCTTTTGGTTTCATACTTAGAAAGTTTCTT